AGAGAGAGAGAGAGAGAGAGAGAGAGAGAGAGAGAGAGAGAGAGAGATAGAAAGAAGACTGGTAATGAGAATGATAGAGAGAATGACAGGCACAAGGAAACAGAGATAGATGGAAAGAGACAGCAAGAAGCAGAGATAGAGCAAAATTATGAGAGAAGAAGAATTAGAGAATGAAACAGGGACATTTTCTGCACGTATCTCTGTGTATTTTCTTTCCGAACAGCGAGAGCATGAATTCTACTTAACCATGGCGCTTACTAAATTTCGCAGTTATTCGCATATTCAACAATATTCGACAGGCTTAACATACGCTGGCAGCACTCTATAAAATGATGTTGACAAAGCCTTTGTTGGTTCAATCATGGACTCATATAATTTATGCAATTTGAGACTTCATGTGTCTCAAGCAGAAATATGAGAAAGCCCAGCCTAAATGCTTTTGTTGGTTTTTCTCCATTTCTTCTCCTCTCTCTCTCTCTCTCCCTCTCTCTCTCTCTCTCTCTCTCTCTCTCTCTCTGTCTCTGCTTTATGTCTGCCTGACTGAGAATTGGCGACAATTTTGTCGGCTGGCATGAATGCAACCGATGGCATTACGTGTATAAAATTTCTATTCATTCATTTGACTCATTGTTTGGCCACTGTTGAGATTGTTGTTGTTGTTGTTGTTGTTGGTGTTGCTGTTGCGAGTTACGCTCAGTTTTCCTTTGTTTGGCATTTGCAACGGAAATTGCCAAAAGCATTGCGAACGGCAGTGTATGCAACATAATATGGAAATTGAAAATCTCTATGCAACACAGAACGTCTGTCTATATAATATATGCACATATGCAAGATACATACATACATAGGTACATGTGTATGTATGTATATATAAGCTACATTACCATGACTGCCAGCTGAGCTACTACCTGCCACATGGCCGTGTATTCTGTCTAGTCTATCTGACCAACTGCCTGACTGTCTATCTGACTGTCTGTCTCCATTGAACGGCGGGCAGACCTGCACAAGTGCTGAGACCGCGTATAAGGATGTGCAGACACATACGTGTGTCTAGACACGAGGCGTGAACATGCAATACGAAAGCTGTTGTAAATATTAAGTGCCGAAGCTCGCATACCCTGATCAAAACAAGTCACGTTAGCTAATGAGGGATATGAGTGGCTTAGGATATGGCAGGCATCAAACTGAGAGAATTAGGTATATGGTATATGTATGAGAACTGGATCTAGAAGTCGCAATTGAATTGGCTATTGCAACTGAAACTGGAACTGGAACTGAAAGTGAAAGTGGCACTTGGAGCTGAACACTGGGCATTGGCAATCAGAGCTGGAACTGAAACTGAAACTGGAGCTGGAACTGGAACTGGAACTGGAACTAGAACAGGAACTGGAGCTGGAGCTGGAGCTGGAACTGGAACTAGAACTAGAACTAGAACGAGAACTGACAATCAGAAAAGGAACTGGAAATTCCCATTGAAATCAAAACTAGCCACTGGAACTGGACACTGTTCCCTGGCAATGAGAGTTGGAACTGGAACTAGAACTAGAGCCAAAAGTGGAGCTGGAATTAGAGCTGGCGCTATATCAAGAACTAGAACTGACTCAATGAAAAGTGAAGCTAGAACTAACAATTATAAATGGAACTGCAACTATGCAGCAAAATCTACCAGCTGGAATCGGAACCAGCAAATAAACTGGAACTAGAACTGTAACTGACAACTGAAGCCGGGACTAATTACTGGAACTGGAGCTGGAATTGAAGTGACCTCGCGAGACCAATTACCTTTAGTATTCACAACAGCTAAGCATAGAACGATAGCCCGATGTACAAACTTAATATATACATACACATACATATATAGTATTTTCATGACTGGATACATACAATAAAAATTGTGTTATTTTCGCAAAAGCGCCTTAAGCACTGTCATTGCCATTGCCATTGCCATTGAGGTAAAGATTAGTCGTTGCTTTCAATGTGTGACAAGTTGCCTGATACATTTATAATACCCGCTCGAGGGCCATAAAAAAAAAGCCTAAAGCGACGCAAGAATTTCAATCTAGATGGCTAGACAATAACAACAACTGACTTAACACAGCACACACAGCGGCTATCACGTATGTATGTGTGTGGGTATGTGTGTGGGTATGTGTGTTGGTATGTGTGTGTGTGTGTGTATTGGCCAAATAGCCACAGCAGTAACCGCAGGCAAACAACACCAGCAACAACAACATTTACCCCCGCAGCCACTCGCCTCCCTCTAGCTCTCTCATTCTGTCTCTCTCTCTCTCTCTCCCTTCCCGACGGCATTTGCCAGTTGTCGGTGTTTTTCTATTTTGCAAGCTTCCGCTTTTTCCGCCAGCTTTTTCCCTTGTTTTTCCTCAATGGCTTTTGTCTTATTTTTGTTCGCTACTTTTTTTTATTTTCCTTTTTAAGCAGCAACTTCCGTTCAATTTATTGTGCCTAATTTTTCTTCACTTTCGAAAAATATTTGTTTGCGAACGAGGCTGCTGTCTGGGCCCTTTACCGGGTGCCGCGGGTCTGCGAAAGCCAATTATTTTCAATTCAATTCAATTGTCATTTCCCATTTGCATCTTGACAATCGCGTAATTACATTTAGTTAATATATTAATGAGCCTTAAGTGAATGGGCAAATGACATTAACTGAAATGAGCTTGCTCCGAGAGTTCGAATGTATTGTCGCTCAACGGCACCCTGTATGGCAGAGATGTCCATTTAAGCTGTCGAATAAGTTTTAACAACAAATTGACAAAATAAGCCACAATAATACAAGACACAAAAGTTGATTTTCATATAAATTAAAGCATCGAACTTTCCCCATTGAATTTTCTTTTCAAGTGTATTAAAAGCTAAAGGGCTCTGCGCATCAGGCACACCTAAAGCCCAACAAGGGTCCATAAAAATGTACAAAAAATGTAAAAATGTTCTCTCCTTGATTAAGGCCCAATAATAAATAATAATACTATTTTAAAGAATTTTCAAATCAAACTTGAATAAGTCTTTTCTTATATAAATTGTGCTACATATCACATCATATAATAGAACTATATTTTAGTAGTAAAATGCAATTTCTTTCGCTGCAAACTTCAGGCTGAAGCACCCTGTACCGAGTGCAGGATTAAGCGCTGGAACTGCAGCGGCCGCTCGGTTTGATGACCCATGCACTGGTAACTGTTGGTGCGCTTAATTTTATTTGAACATGCCCGCAGAGCCCCCTTCACCCCCTCCGACCCACTGCCACTGCCCGAATAGCCGTCGTCCCCTTTTGCTGCAGCGCCAAGCAAACAGGCATCAAACATTAGTAGTTTTTTGCCCTCTGTTTGGTGCCTGGTGGAGCTTATCTGTGCCACGTTTGGGAGCACACACACACACACACACAGACACAGACACACATTGCATATGTGCCCCAGCAGAGATGGGCCAACTCTGTTTCCATGTCTCAGCCGGGGCTTGTCCAGGCCACAGGCATTTCTTTTGGCCAGCACGTTTAGCACACCCTGTGCGCCCCGTTATGCCGGCTCGCTGTTGGGTTTATTATACCCTTCAATGATTTATGCCCCACTGACAGGGCGCATTAGGGGCATAGGCTGCTCCCCGAGGGGCAGGCCGGCAGCCGCACAATGCACCATGCAGCATGCAGCATGCCGCGTGCAACGCACTGTGTGCAACTATCGTCCCAGTTTCGCTTCAGCTCTTTCAGTTTGCTCATCTGCATTTGCAACGGGCCACGAAACGAGCTGAATTGCGTCTAATTTTTCTCACTTGTTGAGCACAGCACACACACACACACACACACACACACACACACACACACACAGATTAACCCAATTGCCGTCAATTTGGATAGTTGGCTCTAAAAATTCCCCCGACTGAGACATTCATAATTTTATTAACCAATTTGTGCAACTTATACGATCCGCCACACACTCCCACTTTCTCTCTCCCTCTCTCTCTCCCTCTCTCTCTCTCCCACTCTCTTTCTCTTTCTCTTTCTAACACTATGTCCATCTGCCTTCGACATTCCCTTTCATGTTGATAGAGAACATGCAACAATACTAGATGCTCAAGCTAGAGGCTCAGTTAACAACATTTAAGCAATTTTCGCTCAAATTCCAAATCATTTTTTGGTTTGAAAACCAATTCTGAACAGTTAAGAGAACAAGAACAAAAAATTTGAGTAATGTAAAACCCACTTAGCTTGAAGTGTTGCTAAGAAATTTTCAAAGAAATACTAAGAAGCTTATGAACTTTTCATACTTTGCATAGCTCTTTCTCTCTCTCTCCCTCACTCTCTGACTTGCTCTGGCAAAGTTTAAGGCTTGGCAACTTCATGAACGGCACAAGCTCTATCCAAATGTCATCGATGCTCTAGCTGCAATATTGGATGACAATGCAAACAGAGCTCAATGCGCTCATTGCTCATTTTCATATTTACTTTTAATTGCACTTCGACATTAATTGATATGCCGAAATTTTATCATAATTGGCAAAGAGAAAAAATAGGAACAAAATGTATAAATGTAGTAGAGCGATAACGATAAAGTTTTCTTTCGGTTGATAAATATTTCGATCTATGTTTTCCCAATAAGTCTCAATGTGCACACGAGTATATATCGAACAACAAGACTCGTTTCATAATTATCATATAATAATTTGCATTTAAATTTGAAACTTGAAAAAGTGCAACAGCAAATGCCAACGCGAATTAAAGTCCGAAATTCGTTTGACTTTCTTCCCTGAATAATGGCCAAAATGAGGAATCCATTAGCCAGCTGAAAGTTCGTGCGCGAACACAATCAGCTTTGGCTAAAGCCACTTCATAATACGAACAGACGTGGTTTTTGCACTCTCTCTCTCTCTCACGCTCATTATCTCTCTCTCTGTCTACTTTTTTGCGTGGGGGTTCACAATTCGCGCAGATTTGCGCTGGTGCATCAATCACAGCCACTTGGCCGGGCCAACAGAGGGCAATGCAGTGTGCCCTTTAGTTGGCCATTAGATTGGATGGGGACTATGCAGTGTGTCCATCAAAACAATTTGCCATCTCACTCCACAGTCTCTCTCCCTCTCTCTCTCTCTCTCTGGCATCGCTGCTGTTTTTGGCTGACTTTCAAAGCCAACAAGAAGTCAACTAATTAATACTGATTCCTACAACAACTCACTGATGCGGAACATCGCACACTAGACGAAGGTGCTACTAACGACAACAACAACAACGACAACAACAACTTTGTACGTCTCAAGGCTATGCATAGTCTAGCAGATATCTGAACTTCTTTCAATCTCTCAGCGGTCGCACAGGTTATTTGCTCGTTTAGCTTGCTCATCGCCTATTTAATTGTTTAACACCAATTTTATTTGGCTGCCAAACTTTGCTAATTAAGCAGTTGTACTCGCCAGATTTACAGTGTCTACTCACACTTAATCAGGTCGCAACAAGATCTTTCAGCAACATAATGAGAAATTAATGAACGAACGTCCCACGGCTTAAGTAAACAAACAAAAATACATAAATAAATAAATAACAACAAAATAAAGCAGAGGTAAAGAAAGTTCTGCATAATTTTGTCACTTTCAAGTCAATTACAATTTTTCTCACTCTCCATCTCTTCCTCTACCGCTCTCTGCTTCTCTTTCGTCAAGACTTAAGCCGAAGCCGTTGACCCAGACAGCGTCTCGAATAGGCCCACCTAATGTACTTACTATCTGATTTCCATAAACAATATATAAAAAGCACGCTTTAAATCGTTGCCAATTAAATGCATCAAGCCTTTAATTGAAGTAAATGAAGTAATTAAATTGGTTTCGCTTTAGGCACGCATTATAACCGTAAACATATACACATATGTGTGCATAAGCCATACGAATATAGGTATAAGGGTGTTTTGTTATTAGATTAGATTTGTAAAAATCCTGTATATCAATTTGCATTTTAATTAAATTGTGTTCAATTCTGTGAATTCGTTCGGGGGTTTTGACCTTGGCTAGGCAACATGAACATGTGTAAATGAGAGCTGAGCGGGTGGCCGAAAAAGTTAGGCAATTAAAAGAAATCCCTCTCACATAATAATGAGTATTGTAATTATAATTAATCAAGCATAAGCTGAACAATTCTAGCCTACATAAAGAAAAACCAAAAAGGATTACCCACGACGAAAGGAGACGTTTTATTTTTCTTTGTACGACCATAAAAAAACGATAAGGCCGTTGATTATAGAGACATATGGAAAACAGTATGCTTCATTTGCACGGCCTGGAATACCATGGCAATAGACACAAGTTGTCAGATAAGCAGCTTAAGGAGAAGAAGGCGTCGCGCCTCGGCACAACAAAGTCACATAGCACAACAGAGCTATAATTAGTATAGAATATATATTAAATATACATATGTACATAATATATATATATATATATATTAAATGAGGAGAATCTTTCATGGGTGCCTTTATAATATAAGGATTGTTTAGAAAATAAAGTACAAAATAATTATCTACATTAGCAATAGAGGCTGAGGTTGTTTTTAATACACAAATAATAAAAATAATAATATAGTAATATATGTATACATATAATAATAAATATAAAATAAATAAATAAAATTCAAAATTAAAATAAAATAAAAGAAGAAGCAGAGATAAGAGTTGAATTAAAAAACATAAGTAAAATAATATTTCTTAATAATGAAAATTACTATTTTACTAAAAAAAAAAAAAAAAATTATAATAATATCGATACACTTAATAAAAAGAAAATAAATCAAGTGAAATATAAATTTATAAAACAAAATAAAAAATAAAAATTATAATAATATCGATACTACTAATAAAAAAGAAAATAAATCAAGTTAAATATTAATTTATAACAAAAAAATATAAAAGAAGCGGCAGAGATCAAGATCATCAGAGTTCAGCTAAAAAAATAAATAAACAAATGTTTTAAAATAATTAAAATAAATTTTTCAATCCGAAAAAAAAAATAATAATAATTATAAGACTAATATAATAATAATACTACTAATGCATATAAAAATCAATTTATAAAAAATAAAATAAGAAGAAGCAGAGATAAAAGTGTAAAATTAAAATTAAAAATAAACCAATTTTTTTTAAATAGATAAAAGTAAATTAAATTATTCATTAATAAAGCTCAGCGTTACCTTAACCATGCCCCACTGGCAAACAGAGACTCAGATTTCAGCTGATCAACAGCCTTTCACACACTTGTCAGCTTATCGATGGACCCTCGCATATTTGCACACCTGGCTATGCATAAAATATGATGCTATATTCGAATGAAGTGCAATTTCAATGATAATGGCGAATTTGCTTTGCTGTTTGCCAGCCGCTGCGTGAAACTCAATTAATTGCACACACTGCCGGGCTTAATGGGCGTGTGCGACTCTCCTTCCGTCCCTCCGTCCCTCCGTCCGTCCGTCCGTCCGTGCTGCAAAGTATGCAACATAAAACACAAATGCGCCAGCAACAGGCAACAACAGACGCGAACAGCGAATTAATTGTTTGGCAACACGCAAATGCTGCTGCGCTGCGAGCTGTCATATTGAATGGATGGCAACATATTTAATTAGCAAACAAATGATTTTCAAAAGCACTCTCCCATTCCATCGAGCCACTCGCCCACCCCACCCCCACCAACGCACTTGCCAGCTTAACCCATCGTCAAACAACAGCTGAGCCATAAAATTAACAGAGCAACCAAATTATTCGGCCATAAAATTGTCATGAAATATGCGCGTCAAGGCCTATTAGGCTCTGTCGCTTTTTTGTCAAGGTAATTTTCTGCTCTGTCTACACGACCAACCAAACATCCACACCCACACACACACACACACACACACACACAGATAGAGACAGACAGTCTGTTTGACAATTGTTTAAATGAAAATCGCATCTAAGGCAAATGCCTTCAAGTTTTGCTGGCCATAAATTGGCGCACAGTAAAAGCCATTGAGACGAAAGGCAATTTCGAAAAGTTTTTATCAGCTCCTTTAATGATGCACGCCCCCACCAAAGGCTCCAGCGCCTGCATTGACTGATTATGGCAGGCAAATGAGCGAGTCAAGTGGCAAACCAGGGAGGCGAGGCAAAGTCGAATAAAGCAGCGATGCGAGGCGGGCGACAGCTACTCGAAAACAGCGCAAAAGACATTGAAATTGATAAGCCGCACACAGACACACACACACTCACGCACACATACACACATATACATACAGACAAAGAGAAACAGAGACACAAACAAACACTTAGTCCATGGCAGCAGCAACAGCAGCAGCAGCAGCAGCACACGCACTTAATGTGATTTGTGCGTGTATTTGTGCATTTTATGTTTATTGTTTTCGCTACACTCACACACTCACAAACACACACACACACACACGCATACATAAATGCGTAGCACACTTAACAGCGCTGCGGGCTGCTCTGCTGCCCTTGCAGAGCAGCGACACCTTTGACATTGCCATGAAATTTATCCAAGCAATGCCATAAAGCATGAAGTATTCGATTCATTCATCCAAGACTCGGCCTGGAAATACCATCAAATTTATTGTTATAGTTAAGCTAGTGTCACAAAGACATAAATAAGATAGATTTAAAATTAGCTCCTGCTCCCGCTCCCGCTCCCGTTCCTTTTTCTGCTCCTTTTCCTGCTCCATTAAACTAACCCAGCCTGAGCTGGCCTATCAAACTAGTTGGCTTTTACACTAATGTCAACATTTCGAGCTGACATCAGAGCAGCTTCTCGGCTTAGACGACGTTTCAATATCAAATTCAAATCATTTCAGAGAATTCTAAATTTTATTAAACAAAATTCCACATTGAAATCTTTTTGACCCTACAAATTTTTCGCAAAACAAAACAGAAAAAAAGCAAAATCAACTTATAACGAAATACAACAGCTGCGAAATTCTTCTGTCTTGAAATATATAGTAATAATAAAACATATCTATATATCTAGATATCTATATATATATATATATATATATATATATATATATATATAGCTCAAGACAATGGATGCTGAGGAAGAAACTCTGCGAAACGAAAGACGGCTAAATGCTCTGTTAACAATTCATCGACAGCTGACTGATTTGCTAGAGTTTGTGAATCGCATCGGTGTCTCGCTGGAGACGCTATCGATAAGCACTGTACGCTTTATAGCCGACCAAAATCTGCAGGCCATCCAAGGCACCAATGAGACAACGGAGGGCGCAGAGTCCGAGACGAAGGGCGTTGGCGAGAGCGATACCCAGAAATGGGCCAAAAGAAGTTGAAGCAAATAAATTGTAATGTGATAAAATGTGGTAAAATTGATACATTGAAACAAATTATATAACTAATCGATATTGAATGCGCAATTTTCATTATTTGTTTCACAGCTTCTTCGTCTATCGATTTAGAGAAATAATAGAGAGTACATAAATATAAAAAAGGAGAAAAAAATGAGTAAGATAGAGCAGCTATATATATTCGCTTAAACTTTAGGCATAGACTAACTATCGCTATCGATAGTTTGTAAGTAATGATCGAATTTAGCTATCAAGATCTATGAGTGAGAGTACTATTTATATTGATTCTTGTAAACAACAATTCCATATGATAACAACAAATGATCATCCTAGATTGATAGCTTCTATAGTCGCTTGCCTAAGCTCTTCATCCATATACCGTATACAGTCGAGTACCGTACTTTAAATTATCGAGAATCATCGAGAATTTTTTCGATATAACGCGATTTTCGATTTAATGGGGTCCAAATTATAGAGACTCGACTGTACTCAAATTTTTCTTCAAGGAACTTCCCAATTTGTGTCAATTTTGAGCAATCTCCAATTGCTAATTGGAGAAGGTATTCAGTCTTCGGTTTCGTCACTTGAACATTTCCTTTTTACCTTTTTACTGCTCATTGGCCTTTCGCTGGCTTATGACTATAAAAAATATTTGCGCGCACTTTGTCTATCCATTTTATATGGATATGCATGTGCGGGCATGTGTACGTGCCCCTGTTTATGTTTTACCAATTGACTTTTAAGGGCTTGAGACTTTAATTTCAGTTAGCAGCCATAACCGCACACAGGAATTTTTATGACATTGGCTGCCTTCTGCGGGATTTTCGATTGAACTTGAAGCCACAAGATTTCCAGATGTTGCCACTCCTAATCCATCTCACTCTCCCTGCACTGTATCCCAGTGCCTTCTGTGTGCGTTTGTCTCTCTCTCTCTCTCTCGCTCTCGAGCAGTTTATGACCATTTAATTTTGAACATATTATCCCTGAAAATTGGCATCGACTTTGACTGTTTGCCTGTGCAGCTGCGACCCACATCCACTTATGGCTTATGCAACGCACAACAAGTGTATTCGATGATGTGACAGTCGGTTATTTCTCATGGAATTTGAGTTCTGCGATTGGTTATCGAGTTGTGTAAGCTGCCAAGCCTTTCTCAATAATCAACTTTTCCTTCAGCTGACCCCATAATGCTTCTCGGAACCCACAGGACCAGTGTCTGTATGTATTGTGCCATGCAATTTTTGTATCTCCATCTAAAGCCATCTCAGTCTACCTCATTCCATCTCTTTCTATCCAAAGTAGCAGACTCTCAGTGAAACTTTATTTTGCTCTGGCTCGTCGGTGCCATAGGAACCACCTCGTCACAAGTTTCTTTATTAAATACTTGTTTATTTTTTGTATGTGAGTGCGTTTGTCTAAACTTTATCGACATCTCGTCTCTCGATAGTTTAGCTCAATCTGTAAGAGTGCAGAGGTTATGCCAGACGCTGTCCGTTCGTCCGTCCGCTTCTAATAAAGTTTGTCCGACTCTGACCTTGGCTAAAGTGTTTGAATTTTCATGTCACGCTCGAGCAATTCATTTAAATTTATAACTAGAACAGTTTGCAAGTCATTGGCTCAGCAGCTACAGTTGGGCAGCAACTGTTTGGCAATCGAATACCAATTCGGTCTCACACGGCCCGGGAATTGTTTCATCCAGCTGATATGCGATCTTAATTTATAGACGCCAGCTCACCTTAGTAAATTTCCAGGGAAAGTGCTTAGCAAATTGTACGTTAAATAAGCTCAACACGCGCTGCGTGGCAATTATACATTTCGGTTGGGTAACACTGTCTGCGGCTCTATATGGTATATATGTATGTATAGTAATGTATGTAAGCTCGTATTTCTTATTGGACAGTAGATGTAACTATCTGTGGGCATATGTAGACGAGTCTTCGATATAATGGCCAGTCGTTGCCCCGGTCTGGGGGAGGAAGTGGGCCGGCGAGGTAGCCAATTACAGATATAGTTCGGTTCACTTGTTCATAGATAAGCTCTACCCTAATTGCGCAATTAATTCATTTGAGCGTATGCGAAATAAAAGCGAAAAAAAAAACAGAGAAACAAATGCTAAAAGGAAGCTAGGTGTGTGCCACGCCCCCTGGGTATATGCAAATTGGCAAGGGCACGTGAGGTATGAGGGGCTGGACGGAACGGTATGAAGTCAAGCTAATTATTTTAATAGTGCCAATCAAGCCAATTTACACACTGAGCAACAGAGCAGCCATCGCAATTGTCGTCGTCGGTGTCAGTGCAACAGTTGCTCCGTGCAACCGATCCAGCTGCTTTGGCCCCGCCTTTCGCCCAAATAGGGTGCGTGGCTATAATTGCATACTTTTCTGCATAAGTAGACAGACAAACCTAACTTTGCCAACCTTTCGTCCAGGCTCCTCCCTCTGCCCCTCTGTCACTCAACTTCTGTTATCTCCAACCGTTGGAGCATTTATGGCACTCAAAGTAATTACACTGGTGCTCCCATTCATTCTCATTCTCATTCTCATTCTCATCCTCATTCTGTTACTTATACTTATACTTATTCGCACTCCCAATCTCATTCCCATTCGCATTACTTTTCCCATTTCCATGTCCTTTATGTGCTTAAACTCATTCTTATTCCCGTTCCCTTTCCCTTTCCCGTTCCCGTTCCTCTTCCAGCTCCCGTTGGCTTATGTCTTGGCTGTTGCCTGTGCTTAACGCCAAACCCTGAGCGGAAATTGATTTTGCAAGCCGATGGCTGATCAACTGCTTCGCAACATTCACAGCAGTTTAAGCATTGATTTTTCCTCTACTCTCACACACGAAGTCTATTAATGCTTTCATGGATAGTTCGAGTCCGCTTGTCCGCAATCATTTTCAATTAAATGAACTTAGAATTTCGCGTAAAGAGATATTTACTATGAACAGATTATGAATTGTCTATGGTGTAAAGTATTTCGAAAGTGTTGATAGTGATTATCGATAGTCGATAGTGCTTATCGATTGTTCTTCATATACTGTTTAAGATTATATGAAACTTGATTATATGTACATTAAAAATTTGTATACAATAAATAGTGTAGGAGTTGACTAATGCAAAAATACTTCTATAGAACCGATAGTGATTATCGATGACCGATAGCTCTTGAGACACCGTTAGATCAGAGACATATTTTTAGGACATCTATCTTCGCTTCATAACATTCGTTGGTTTTTAATGCAGACGAGGATAGTCTTTGATTTATACTAGCGATAGTTTCCCAGATAATCGTAGCCTAAGAGCAATATATGTACAAGTTAAGCAACGGACTTTTCCAAAGGCCATTCGAAAATGTTTTTGATTGATAATGATGATCGATTATTAATACAAGCGATTGTTCTACAAACACCAGAGAATGCGAGCCAATTCTTTATGGTTTTAATCATAACAGTAGATAAGCTAAACTCTTTTGGTAAGAGCATTCGCTAGTTACCCGCACTGTGGCAGCTTTTCGTTTAATTTGATTTTGCTGCTTTGCTTTTGCAATGCTGCTTCTTTATTGAGTAACAAGAAAACTATAAAAGCGCAAAGGCACCGGCTGAAGCGGGTTGCCCAGTGGGCTGGCGCCTCTACAAATTGACAAGTTTCAACTCGAGTATGCAGTCAAAGAGCACTGGCGTTGGCATCGGCCTGCGCTTGTGTTTGCCTCCGTCTAAGTGTATCTATGGCCATGTCTGTGTCAGTGTCTCTGTCTCTATCTCTGTCTCTGTCTCTGTGCATGTCTATGGCTCTATGTCTATGCGACCGTTGAGCCCAATGCTGCAACGCCTTGCGGCACGCCCACTGCTGCAGTGGCGCATGGGAGGGCCGCTCGTTTGCTTGCTTTCTCTATAGCTTCAGTTTCTACTTGGCTCGACTAGACCGAGCCGCCCGTCTTCGGTCATTGACTTGCGGGCGCGCTGCAATTTTCAACAAATCACTAACACGCAGCCCCTGCCCCTGCCCCTGCCCCCCATTGATTGCCGCCCACGCCGCAAGCAATTGTCAATAGCAACAAAAATTCAAAGAGACATGAGCTTTATACAAAATTGTCGAAAGCTGACTGTCGAACACTTTTTGAAGAACTGATACCAAACACTCTGCATTGATTTTGGTCAATGGCCTGTGGCCAGGACTCGTCGCGCGACTGCTGCTCTGCTGGTCTGCTGGTCTGGTGTCTCTAGTGTAAGTGCAGTTGTTGTTTTATATCTATTTGCTCGAAGATAAAGACATGACCATAATCAAATCGCCAGAGCCCCAAGCACTGAGAGCTCAAATGTAACGACTGCGGCTTCTCTTGGCCATTGGAAATGTTTAACGTTGCGTATGATTATTTGCGGCACTGGCCGCAAGTGGCACCAAATGGGGTCGCCTGTCTGCGAATGGCTGAGGCCCGAAAGAAGACTTGACTAATTGCGAATTTGCGCAGAAATTGAAATTGAAATTGAAATGCCTGGCAATCTCATGGGGCAGTGGCTACCACTAATTGCTGCCGACCCGTCTCCAGAGGCGAGCCCATTGATTATGTCTGCCGCTGCACGAATCCCAATCTAAGCCAAATGGTTGGCCCACATGCTCGCCAATTCATTTGCATACGTCGCTCTATGCTATCGCTCGAAATTTGATTTTTGAAATCTCTGACAGCTGGTAGCCTTACAGCCAGCTGGGAAACCAGTCGAGTTGGTCTGAACAATGCAAGTGAACCAAGTTTATGCCCAGCAGGAATCCAAAAGTAACAATGACTTCCCGACTCTCAGTAATCGACGGAATTATTAAGCGGGTCAACCGCAAAACAAATTCAATGAATTGAATAAAAATTATAAGGCTTCACATAACTGCAAAACTTACAAAATTTTTGGGCAGTCAACATAACAACATAA